TGCATTAACCTGGGGGTCTTTAGGTTACACATTTAAGGAATCTTTCCTGATTCTATAAGCTGCTGCCAAAAATTTGGTACATGCTAATGTCACCTGTGGATTGGCGTCTATCATAAGCGTAATACTAATATCAGAGTCCAGACGGCCTAAAAGCCTTTCCCATATGGGTTGAATATATACAGCTCGTATATTTTGATAGAACCCACACGGAAGCAAAATATGATTGATAGTATCAGCCTCTCCAATACCACAAGGACAAAAACGCTCAGCCAGAGGTATCTTCTTGTAGCGACCTATTACTACCTCAGAAGGGAAAATATTACAACGAGTCATAGAGAAGGCCCTTCGATGGGATGGAACTACAATTCATCAGGTATGGAGCCAGAGAGACTGAGTGATGAAAGACAAAAGAGCGTGTGCTGAGAATGTCTGTCTGTCCTACAGTACACAGGCTGTAGGTGGGTTATGATTAGTGTTGCCAGCTCCCGGCTGGGAAATGTCTGGAGATTTTGGGGGCGGGGCATGGGGAGAACACGGTATGGGGAAAGGAGTGACTTCCACCTCTATAATGCCACAGAGTCCACCCTCCACAGCATATGTTTGCCCCAGATGAACTGATCTCTGTAGCCTGAAGATAATTTGTAATCCCAGGAGATCTCCAGCCACCACCTGGATGTTATGATTAATAAAATTTCCTAGTATTTACCATACCACTTTGTCTATAAAACCTGGAACTGAGACCCAGCTAACTATTTTAAAAGGACAGCAGGTGCTACCATTCATTACACCCTTCAACAAGCTATATAATAATCTGAATTTAGAATTAATGGAGCTTACTTTGGAAGAAGGAGGAACAAAATCCAGTTATTGACAACAGCAACAAGTATCATGAGATCTTTCCTTATTCAGTTGTACCCCCCCCCCAATATTTGTGAGGTAGAAATTAGATTTATCAAAACATCCAAGATCATGTCTGCTTGTGGATCTGCAATGGGACATTTGTGCACTGAATGGTGCCTTCCCTGTACAGACACAAAGGTCAGAATAAGTCTGCTCAGCATCTTCTTCTGCCTATGCCCTTCTTCCAGCAAATCTAAACCTCTGGCAAAATCATCTTCCTATTCTATTGTAGCTACCCTGTTTTGCAACAGATTGCAAGAGCAGGCCCAGAGAGCACATTTCTGGGCTAGGATCCAAAAACTATACAAACCAGCTAGATTTAGAACCAAACTAGACACGACAGCATCCACGAGTCCAACCCATGGACACCATTGCCATATTTAAAATCATTTCAAGTGTGGTGGGCTTAGGGTTGCCAAGTGTATCTTCGCTGGGAGCGGGGGGCTCCCGGCCGGTGTCTTGTGCGTGCGTGCGCAAAGCGCACGCACGCCACACGCACGTCACCCGGAAGTGACGGGAGGACGCCAGGCACGCTGGGGGCGGGGCAAAGCCATACAAGAGAAAACCATAGAATTTCCCCTTGTATGGCCGTGGCCCCACCCTCAACGTGCCCGGCGTGCCCACGTCACTTCCTGGTGATGCGCACTCAGGGGTGGGGTTTCCCCGGGGGCCCGATTCCGTGGCGTCAGAAATCGGGCCTCCAAAGCAGGGGTTTACCCGCCCCCACTTGGCAGCCCTAGGTGGGCTGTGGTGCTCTTGTTCCCCCCTCATGCCTTTTCAAGTGCTGAAACAGCTGTGGGGGGAGTTGTGGCCACCCACCAGACTTAACAGCAAGGACAAGGGAGGTTGGGCAGGCACAGCTGCAGAGATCCTCCCATGCAGCAGCTCTGCTCCTTTCCTTGCCTCTGTGGCTCACAGTGGCAACAGCTGTCAGGCCAAGGGCTCTGCCAAGACAAAAACTCCTGACTCTGGGGCACAGTTCCAAGCCCCTACAACTAACAGCAGCTTAGGGGAGTGGGTGGCAACCAGCCAGAACAAGCCAGCACAGACAGGAGGCACACCTCCATTTATCTCTCTCAGAGGTTGCTCCCCATAACAAAAGGATAGCGGCTCCGTCTGGGCAGGCATGTTTTTTGCACTCCCCTCAAAAAGAGCCATGAGAGGATCCAAGAAGGCACTTCAGAGATCTGTGGAGAGAGTCAAGAAGAGAGGAGGACATTGGATGACTTTCAACTGCTTTCCCTCTCTGAACTGCTAAGGCCCAGAGTGGGGCAAGGGATGGTACACCTGCCCCGGAAACATGCATGGTTCGACTCGATCTCCACAACTGCTTTGAGTGAAGTAATTAGGTGGGGTAAAACAAATTTTAAAATAGAAAACAATCAACAAATCACAGTGTACACATCCAACTGCACTGCAGTGCACAAAGGGTTTGCAGTGTTAATATACAGTAAGCTATGTACAGAAACATGTAACGGAAAGGATACAAGGGTATCCCTCAAAAGGAAGAACCAAGTCCTAAAGCTCACTCAAGGGTTTCCACCAGATGAGCAGAATCAGTGGGACGGGCCCTGTCTTGTGAGGTGCTTAGGATGCATTTTGTCACATATGATCTTCAATATTTATGGAAGGCTGCATACACATGGTTAAGCTGAAGCTGAATCTAGACAAGATAGAGGTAATGCAGGTTGGGAAGGCTGCTGCTTTGGAAAGTTTGGATCTACTGGTGATGAATGGAGTGAGGGTAACTTTTCCAGAGCAGGTTAAGAACTTGGGGGTACTAATGTACCAAGTCTATTTGAAAAGCAGGCTGGTACAGTGGCCAACAGTGCCCTTCTACCTAGCCACCTGGTTGACAGCTGTCCTTTCCTAGACTCAGTGGACCTGGTGAGACTGATCCATGCTTTTGTAACCTTGTGTTTGGATTATTGCTAAGACACATAATGTTGGACTTTTGTTGTTCAGTCGCACAGTCAAGTCCGACTCTTCGCGACCCCATGGACCAGATCACGCCAGGCCTTCCTGTCTGTTGGAATGTTGGACTACCCTTGAAAATAACCTAGAAATTACAGATGTTACAGAATGCAACAGCCCACCTGTTGTCAGCTGATCATCAGAAAGACATCTTGTCTATTTTAAAACAGCTCCATTGGCTAACAGTTTATTTCCAAGTTCAGTACAAGAAGATTGTTATGGTCTTTAAAGCCCTGCACAGCCTGTGACTCACATATATAAAGGATTGTCTCTCCCCCATATTGATGTATGTGATGTATGGGTTTCCTCACAAAAGGTGGCCCTGCCTGGCATCGACAAGGGCCTGTGTTCTAGGTTGGTGGCTCCCACTTTATGTGCCTGCATAAAGATACATACAGTGATCACAGGTGCTACAGGAGATGAGGGACCATCTTTAGAAACCTTTAGAAGACGTTGTAAGGCTATTTTATTCACCAGTTTTTACTGGAGTGTAAGGTGCAGGTATTTTATTTGGGAGGAGCAGGGTTTTACTGTAATTTGATGTTTTTAATTATGGATCATAAATCACCCTGAGCCATGGTAGAGATGGTATATAGATATTTGCATGCATGCATGCAAAGACTTGACAAAGAAGCTTCATCACAGCACTGCAGTGGTCAAAAGAGAGAACTAAGTATGACAGTGCTTATTGAAGAGTGTGGACAAGGGACAAGCTTTTCTTCAATGAAAAGAACTCTAAACACCCATTTGTAGGCTTTAACATTAGAAAGTTCTGAACTATTCTTTGTGTAAGCACAACACCTATACATGTGCCTGCACAAAGACATGTACAGTGATCATATAGAACAACTGAAGGCAACTGCTCCTCCATTCAACTTTACCCAGGAATACTAATTTACTAAAAAGGGAGGGGAGATATATGACCTCAGCCAAGTAGCCTCACAGTCAAAATACCTCAACAGCTAGAAAAGAAGGAGGAAATGGAAATTAAATGTACAATGTTCTAGAAGCAACCAAGCTAAAGCCTGCAAAATATTAGGCTGCTCCACAGGATCAAAAATCTTTTGCAACTGCCAGGTAGTTTAGACAGGTGCATTTAGAACTAGATTATGAACTACAATATAAACTACAAAGAGGACATGATGGTTACTACACTGTGCACATAAATACACAAATCACTGATTTATTTGCTCAGGCAAATAATAGTTTTATCAATATAGGCTGGTGCTATTTATTGACTAAATATTGAAAGATGGCTGTCATCTTCAAGATAAAAAACACATTTTAAATTTTAAAAAGTTGTGGAATGGAAGAAATTCTGAGATTTACTCAACCTGAAATTATCACTTTCCGTTTAACAAATGTGATACAATAACAGAAGAACAGGATATGAACAGTTGTCATTATGTTCATAGCATAAAATAAAACATACATAACTGGAAAAGCAGTATCTTTCACTCATGTTATACCAACATTCTCACATTATATCAACATTTCACTAAACAAAATAGAAATTTTATTCAGTAAGAGATTCTGAAAAAAACCTTTGTAACAAGATATCCCCAAAACCGAATATAGACAGTTCGGAAAAACTCAGAGAATGGCTTGGGACAAATATCCTGAATACAGTTTTTAAGCCTTTTAAATTGTACCAACTCAGTGGGATTTAAGCAGCCTGTATGCAGTACTGTAGTCTTTAAAATATCTCTGAAGCATGACATAAGTATTTCACTGACCAGGTTAAACCTGGATTATAAATAAAAGGGTGATGCACCCAGAACTGCTCAGATCAAATTATATTAACATTAATGGAGTCTAGCAAAGGAGACACTTGGTGGGTTGTTAGGGTTGCTGCTGAAGAGTTCCAAAATAAGGAAAATAAGGAACTCATTGTGACCACATAAGAAATGATGTATTAGATTATTACCAGTACCTTATTAGAATTAATTATTTTGTAATATATTGAATGGATTTTTGCAGTTATGGTGCGTCTCTTCTTTTCCACTGTTTCTGAAATAAATAAATAAGGACTAGTTCCTTAAAAGGTGGCACCTATGGGTTGTACCCCAAATATTTTAGAACTTCCAACATATATGCCGATTATTCTACATTAAAAAGTAAATTACCACAGTTTGGGACTGGCTTCTCCATCAGAGACACCCTCTGGTTGTAGTCATTAACACAGTAAAAATCCAGACTTTCTGTTTTTGGTATCTTGGTCTCTTGGAATATCTTGATCCACATTATGTCACAGGAACACTTGAATGGATTGCCTTCCAAAATCCTACAGCATTTGATAAATGACAGGAAACCTTTAAAAATTAGGGTAAGAAGTGACTAAAAACACTGTCTACATAGTTCACAAGTAAAACACTTTAACATGGTTGTCTAGCTAATTAATCAAATTTGGTTTAGTCAATGTATTGATTAAACAAATCCTCAAATATTTGCATATGCATAAAATGAATAAAAATATTTCTGAAGATGTGAATGTGTGTGTGTGTATAAAAAAGATTATATGCACATATTGCAGCAAGCACAATCAGAAGAAATATTATTTTATTTGTGAGAAAGAACAGGGAGTGTGTTCTTTGATGGTGCCTGTCATCCATAGTTTTCACATAAAATAGGTAACAATTTTAAATAAAATCTTCTGCTCAGTTACTCAAGGACACCTTTTAGTAAATCAAGGGGGTTTAACTGATTAATGTAACCAACTCATAAATTAAATATTGCAACTCTATGGTCAAGTGTTCAACTGGAGAAAATAGAATCAACTCCAGTGAATATATCTGACTTCTGTCAGTAGTCTGACATCTATTACATTTTTATCCTACTCTTCCCGCAAAGCATTCTGGACAGTGAATATGGTTCTCCACTCCTCCATTTTGTGCTAAGCATAAAATGTGCTAAGCAAAACTCAGCCTCAAGAGAAACTCAGTTCTATTGAATACTATTTTTCTGAATTGAGAGTGTCAACAGTGTATGACCTACAGCACATTTTTGTCTAGAATGGATTTCAAATGTTTTCTGTCTTCTGGGATTGTTAGCTCCCCCTTATGGTTGAACTCCACAGAAATATGCTTCAAGTAACAGCTGCAAACACTTTGGGGGAAAAAACCTTCTGTGAATCTCTAGCAATTGAAACAGATAAGAGTTTACTTAATATCAAATGCTAACTAAAAACAAAACAAAACTAGGGTGTAAATCCTAAGTGTAGAAGCCCATCCACATGAAAGCGAAGTAGAACTATTAGATGTTAATTAAAATGTTTATGAAAGCCACAGCCCAGTGTGAGTAACAAGATGCTGCAGTCAATCACAGCACAAAAAGTGCATTTGTCTGTAGCCGGCATGGAGCATTACCTGAGTGTTCCTCATAAAAGCATACTGTGTTCCATGCTGCCAATTTCTTGGTATACAATTTGATCCACTAAGACATTTCATTAAAATAACAAACAAGCCATCACTAATGACCACCTAAAAAACATATTTGAGTCGACCACAATGCTCAAAAGTCCTTTGGTAAAGCAATCTCTGAAGAGTGTTCATGCAAGTTTAGAGAGTTACAAAACTCTTAGTTTACTGGACTCCAATCAAAATAAATATCCAGATCAAACTGACTATCCTACAGGTTTTACAAATTCTCACAAATACACTGGAAGAGTTATTAAAGCCTGGGTCCTCACTGGGTTCTCTCCAATGGTGTATGGGAAAGAAGATGAACTCTGTAGCCACTTTAGCACAAAACAGCCTACTGTCACATTTTGGGGTAAAAAGAAAGGTAAAAGATATCATGTATTTCACTGTGCTCCCCTTTCTATATCTCATGGAATTCTAAATTTTGCTCTTTGGTATACAGAAAAGGAAGCTAGAATTATCAGTACTTCCACTCTATTCCATTTTTTTTTCTTTAAAAAGTGACGGGGGAACCCCATTAGTAGTGCAACAAACGCTCAACATTGCTTGGTTAACTCCTACAAGTGAAGGGAGCTTTTCCATTCTGTACTCTTGGAATTATTCACGTACTCTTTGGTACAGATCATCTAGCTATAGTTAGTGAATGGTCATGGAGATGCATCATGCTCCACATTGTCTTTTGTATTACTTGACATGTGCAAGGGTAACATAATGATCTCAGGAACCTTAAATAAGGTTTATATGCTATACATTTTGATGCTCTTCAAACTATATACTAGTATGGACCACAACCCATATGTACTCTGATAAACTCTCCAACAACTCCTTCAAGCAAGTGCAACCTCCGATAAGTATAACTTTTGTTCAGGAGACAGAACTGGTTGCAACTATCAAATGTGAGACAGGATCATACGCAGAGAAACCTACACATGGTCCAAGTTACACTCTCAAATTATACTAATAGATACTCTGTGTGATCATCAAAACAATAACAGAGATTGTCACATACACACCAGGCACATCAATCAAAACATGCAAACAAGGAAAACAGTTAAACAGCCAGTAGTGAACTATTTGCAAGACTGGCTTAAATAATATACAAGTAAATGTGTACAGGACATTCTAAACTCAGTTGACAAGTACAGAGAAAAGGCATGTCTATAAGTTAGCCTGACATCAGCACCCAGAAGCTTAATATCTGGGAGACTTCCAACCTAGTGAGGCAGTTTTCACACTTGCATCATAAGCAGTAAAGCTGGAGCTGGAGCGAAGTCTAATCCAAGAGGATGTAAAAGGGGACTAAAAGAAGAACCTGACACTTGCCTGTCTATATACTAATAGCCAAGGTTCCCCATTGCGTGCAGATACTTATTTCCACAACTTGGGGGCACATGGCGGCTCAACAGAAATTCCTGCACACTTGAGACATTACTTAGGTGTGCAGGAAAATCTGACATGTTTTTTAAAATATACAGGGATACTTAAATCCCCCCCCAAAATTAAACTGCGTTCTCGTGCATGCATGGAGAATGGACTCGCCGTTTGGAACTGTGGCAGCACTTACTGCTGGCAGCTGCAAGGGAGCCAGGAGAGCCTTGGTGGGCACGCAACTGGGAGCCGCACAGGGCTCACCGCTGTTGCTGCTGGTGCGGGTGGTAGAAGCCTTGGTGGGCAGGCGGCAGGAAGCCACGCAGAGCTCGCCGTTGTTGCTGCTGGCCAGGGGGGGGAGAAGAATGGGCAGGCGGGCGGCTGGGACACGGGCAGGCCTTGCCGCCGTTACTGCTATGCTGGGCTCACCTGCGGCCACCGCCTTCTCCTGCTCAGTGAGGACCTACTCCTGCTTCTGTAGGCCAGGAGCTATGTGGAATACTCCCCCCCCACGAGTATCACAGGTCCCGCTTCTTCTCAAGTCTAAATCTGTCCCAGAAGGAATTTAGTGGTTATTAAGATGAAAGCACAGATGAGGCTCTGGTCAGTTTCTCCTCACCTTAGATCAACATTACTTTTTTTGTCCGTTTGTAGGGGTACAATATTTTGAAAAGCCAAAAAGAGGACATATTTCCCAACTGACTACTTCGAACAAGTGATCACTATGACAAATCTCATTTTAAATACCCCTACTATTTAAGCTGTTATAATAGCTACTAACTAGGAATATTCCTGACCTTCCAACTCCAAAACAGGACATTTTCATCCGTTTTTTTAAAAAGAACCCAAAAGAGAATGGACACAAAAAAAGAGGATATCTTGTAATTAGGGGTGTGCATTCGGTTTATCCAAGCTGGAAAAAAACAAATAACAAAAAAACCTTACTGGAATTTTCTAGTATTTTTTTCAGCTGGATATAAGCTGGGGTATTTATCTGGTTATCCAATACAGCTGAGCCCGAAAAATCCCAAAAATATTTGGGATTTTTCAGGGATGCCAGATAGCTGGCATTAAAGGACATTTAAAGGAATTGCAGTTCTTTTAAACACCTTCTGGGTGAAGCTGCACCTTGGAGAAAGCATTTAAAGGGACCATAGCCATTTAAATGCCTTTGGAGTTCAGCCACAGCTTGCTAAAGGCATTTAATGGGACCCCCCACACCCAATGTTTTTGAAACTTGGGGGGTGAGGAGAGGTACCAGCAGCTATGCTGTAAATCTAGTGCCTCTACCTCAAAAACAGGCCCCACAGTGCCCCAGATACCCCCGGATCATTTCTCCATTATATCCTATGGAGACCCTTGACTATAATGGTCCCCATAGGGTATAATGGGGTAAAATAAATTCAGCAATCCTGAATATTTACCAAATCCAAAAAATATCAGGGTGTTGTTTTTTGCACATCCCTACTGGTAACCCTAATTTATGTTAGCAGTTTTATAAGCATTTTAACAAAAATGTAGCAAATCTGTAACATTTTCATAAGAATTCCTTTAAACTATGCATCACAAGTATCTCCTCCAATATTTAATGTAAGCAAAGTTTCCTCTGCCGTCAGTATACCAATAGTCTCGGAGTGGGTGTTGTGTGTACAGCTCACTGGGTGACTTTGGACCAGTCACATACTTTCAGATTAACCTACCTCACTGGATTGTTGTGCAGATAAAAAAGGAGGACAGGGGATTAATATAAACTGCTTTGGTCCCCACTGTGGAGAAAGGCGGGGTATAAATGAAGTAAAGAAATAATAAATATAATTGAAGAATGCGAGGCAAATAAAAGGTAGGTTGGTAAATGGCTGAGAAGGAGCGAATGAGGCAAGTAAAGGGGAGAAAATATGGGGATTGCCAGGGGAGGGAAAGGGGAAATAGCATGGGGGAAGGGGATACAGTGGAAAGTGGGGCACACCTTACAAGTCTTTGAGGGTTGTCTACCATGGAAGTGGGCCTTGTCCAGTGACTGGTACCACACAACTGGGCCATAGTTCTCCTAGCTAGAGGCTGCGGTGTGTGTGGGGGGAACATCTTAAAACAGAAGGGCATATAAAGGTAGGTTGGCTGCTGGGTGGGAAGAAGATAGGGTTGCTAACTTCAGGTTAGGAAACTCCTAGAGATTAGGAGGTGGAGCCTGAGGAGAGGAAGGTTTTAGGAGAGGAGGGACCTCAGAAGGGTATAATCCCAGACTCCACCCTCCAAAGCAGCCATTTCCTCTGGGGAATTAGCACTGTCAACCTCCAAGTGGGAGCTGGAGAATTACAACTGTTCTCCAGATGACAGGAATCAGTTCCCCTGGAGAAAATGGCTGCTTTAGAGGATGGATTCTATAGGACTACCCTGCTGAGGTTGCTTCTTTCCCCAAACCTCACCCTCCCAAGGCTCCACCCCCAAAGCTCCAGGAATTTCCCAACCTGGAGCTGGCAGCCTGAAGGGGAACTGATCT